AAAAAAAAAAAAAAAAAGAAAAGAAAAGAAAAGAAATAAAAAAATCATTTCATTTCATGTTTTTGCCATTCTTTACATTTCCATTTATTTATTTTTTTTATTCATTTACTTATGTATTTATTGGTTTTGTTTTTTGGTGTTTGAAGGCATGGCTGTCCTGGGACACGTAACCCAGGCTGGCCTCAAACTCACAGAGACCCGCCTGCCTCTGCCTCCCGAGTGTTGGGATTAAAGGTGGACGCCACTGCCCGGCATTTCCCCTTAATTTTTAAATTTTATGTTGTGTGCAGAGGTCAGACAATTGTGTGGAGCCTGTTCTCGCCCTCCGCCTTCACGCAGGTTCCACAGCGCCATTGTCTGCAGAGCCATCTTTCCAGCCCTGATTCCCGAAATGTTTTAAGTGGTGTGTGAGTGTTGGTTTTCCTCTCTTTCTTCGACACTGGCCCCAGGCTCCACTTGTGATTACTGTTTCTCAGTCATTCATGGTTGACCGTTGATCTTTGGAAATGGAGATCCGGTGAAGCCATTTAAATCCACCGGGATGGCATTTCACGCCAGAGATGTGTCAGATCCCTCACAAGCCAATTGGCGTTGTGACGATGACCCCACACAGCCCACTTCCTGGCAGGCTCCACAGGCTTCTTCACCCTGCTTTGTCTCTGAGGTACCCCTCTTTTCCAGTCAGGGTCACTTCCCTGTTCCTCATGCTAGATATAAATGACCCGGGTTCTCTTATGATCCGACGTAGATATTTTGTGGGTTTCTTTGTTTGCAGGACTGGGGAATGGAATCTAGAGCCAGGAACCCAATCTAGAGTTCTGGGCATGTCAGGCGAGCATTCTCCCACTGTGTGATTCATAGATCTGGCTGTCCATAATTAATCTTTAAACTTTTATTATTTTATGGGTATGAGAGTCTTTTATGCGTGCATGTCTGTGGACCACGTATGTGCAGTGCACAGAAGCCTGAAAAGAATATTGGATCCCCTAGAATTGGGGTTACAGACAGTTGTAGGTCACCATGTGAGTGTTGGGAATTGAACCCAGTTCCTCAGGAAGAGCAGTCAGTGCTCTTAACTGCTGAGCCATCTCTCCAGTCCTGGATCCAGCCCTTTAAATATATATATATGTATATTTTGGGATTATAATTACATCATCCCCACCCCACCTTCCCTCCCTCCAAATACTCCCATGATCCTCTCCTTGCTCTTTTTCAAATTCATGATCTCTTTTTTCAATAACTGTTGCTGTACACACACACACACACACACACACACACACACACACACACACACACACACACACACACACGTTACCTGTATATTTCAGGGCTGACCATTTGGTACTGAGTAACCAGTCGGTGTGCTCTTCCCTGGCAGATTCTGTCTCCCATTCTCAGCATCCCTTAGTTGCCTGTAGTTCTTGGTGTGGGGCTGAGGCCTCCTGGCCTTTCCCCTCCATCCATGTTAGCATGTCTATTGATGTTGTCCTCGTTCAGCTCATTTGGGGGCAGTGATGTTGGTGAGACTTTACGGGTGTAGCTTCTGACATTCCTAGGAGACATAATCGTAGCAAACTCTCTTACACCACCACCACCACCCTCCCCAACTCCAAAATGTTCTCTGAGCCTTAAGGTTTGAGAGTTGTGTTGTAGATGTATCCACTGGGACTGGACTCCACAACTCTGCATTTGATTGGTTGTGGCTTTCCGCAACGGTCCCCATCTGTTGCAAAGAGAAGTTTCCTTGATGCAGAGTGAAGACTACACTTCCCAGGCTAGACCCTGGAGAAGGATTCTTTTCAATTATTTTATTTTGAGACGTGGTCTCATTTAACTGTTAAGGCTGACCTCGAACTCTGACCCCGGGAGGCCTTGAACATGTGATCCTCTTGCCTCAGCCTACAGAGTAGCTGGAGTGACAGGTCTGCATGGGTCCTAGTATCAGGTTTCAGTTTCGTGCCTACTCTCCACTATTGGGGGTGGTAGGTTGGAGAAAGAATCTTTTTTTTTTTGGTTTTTCAAGACAGGGTTTTGGAGAAAGAATCTTAACAGATAGTAGAGGTTGACCCCACACTCACTGTGTAGCCCAGGCTGGCCTCAAATTTGAGCTCCTCCCGCCTCAGTCTCCTGATGTTAGAATAAGATTACAGACCTGTGCCACCATGCTTTACCTGTTTACTTATGTACATGAGGGTTTTCCTTTCTGTATAAAATGACTTAAGGTTATTTGTTATTTGTATTTGAGAAAAGGTCCCACGAAGTAGTCTTGACTAGTCTGTCACTCACTGTGTAGACCAGGCTAGACTCCAATCCAAAGAGATTAACCTACCTCTGCCTCCTGAGTGATGGAATTAAAGGTGGGTACCACCACACCCAGCTTGACCTCTGTTTTCTATTTCTTTTAAATTCAGACACTTGTTATGCATAGTACAAGTGTCTGCCTGTTCATGGGCATCGTGTTCTATTTTTTTTTATTTTATGTATTTATTTAGTGTGTCTATCTTTCTATGTCTGTCTCTGTCACAAGGAATTACAGGCAGTTGCCAGCAGTCTCACATGGGTGCTGAGAACTGAACCTGGGTCCTCTGGAAGAGCAGGAAATGTTCTTAACCACTGAGCCATCTCTCCAGTCCCACATGCATCTCCTTGAAGGCCTTGTCTGAGCTTTTGTATACAGAGAGACACCATGTCTCACAAATGATTCTTGTGTTCCTTTCTAGTGTGGCTTTGAGTTCTCAGATGGTATTTGGATATCGGTCATGCCATCTGAGAGTTTCATGTTGAGATAGGGGGCACATTATAAAGGGGAGCTCATCACAGTTCCCTTTAAAATGGGGCAAAGGTTATCAGAAACCATCTGCCTCTTCTCTTGTTTTAAAATGTATCTTACGTGTATAAGCGTTTGTCTGTCTGTCTGTCTGTGTACTGCATGCATACCTGGTACCTGCTGAGGCCAGAATAGAGACTTGGATCCCCTGGATTACAGAAGGCTGTGAGTCACCATGTAGATGCTGGGAACCAAACTTGGGTCCCTTAACTGCTGAGCTAGCCTTGAGGCTCCCATCTGCCTCTTCTTCAGGTTCACAGAGCAAGGAAGGATGCACCCATGTTTACCCAGCTGCAGAGTGGATTGACACAGGTTCCCTAACTGTCCAGTCTTCTCCTAAGACCAGGTCTCCACCAGCTCAACCTCGCCATCCCTCTGGGCTCTGTTGGGGAAAGGAAGTTTGAGTCTCTGCTGCCCAACTCCGTGCGGCACCTGTACCCTTGCTGTAGAAACCTGACTCTCCTTAGCTATGCTATAGGCTTTACTTAGATGAGTCTGGGCCCTTAGCATTTCTCATATGTACTAGCACAAAGCCAAAACACAAAACAAACAAACAGACAGACAAACAAAAAACAAAGCAAAGCAAAAAAACAAAACTAAACAAACAAAAAAACAATGACTAGCATGTTTTCAAAGAGAGGGGCCAGGTTGGGTGTGGTGGCGCATGGCTTTAATCTTAGCACTAGGGAGGCCGAGGCAAGTAGATCTCTATGAATTTAAGGCCAGCCTGGTCTCCATAGTGAGTTCCAGACTAGCGAGTAGAGACCCTGTCTGAAAAAAGCAAAAGGTCGGAGAGCCGTTCCAATTCTTCTCATACTCTCTACCAAAACCAGTGAGAAAATCCAGGCATGCCCAGACCCTTGTCTTTCCATATCCAGTCCAAGCTGTTCAGAGAAGGTGGGCCAGAAAGGGCCTTAGGAGCGTTAGTTCCCAACAGGCCTGTATCTTTAAGTAGCCATTTGCGTGGGGAACGTGGAAAGACAGAGTTAATGATTTACCAGAGGTTCCTTCACTGTTGCCAAGGGTCAGCTTCCCGGGAACATGCCCAGGATCGGTCCTCTGGGCTCGCCACCAGCCAGCTGACCAGGAAGGCCCCCCAGTGGACTGAAGCATGATCTCCATCACCGAGTGGCAGAGTAAGGGGAGTGGCTGGGGGGTGGGGGTGGGGGGAGGCACATGTGGGGCTATAGAGGGGGGTCCCTGCTAGGGTGAGTGAACATGCGCTCTTCCCAACCGGGGCTCTTCCGCTGGGATCTGCAGATGTGACCTCTGGAACCAGCAGTTGGAAGCTGCTGTATTGGCATCCTCAAAGGATCTGAGTCGGGGCGAGTGTGACCTCTGCCTTGCAGAGGGTGGGGCCAGCCCAGGCACTCAGGCCGTCCGAAGGAAGTCCACGAGGCAGGCTGAGGTCCTCTCACCCATAGTTCTGAAAAACTAGGGTGCCTCTGCCCTAGTTCAGACATCTCCCCAAACCCTCAAGGTCTCCTGTGGCCCTGGGTCTGTAGCCTCACTCCAAACATCCCTACTTCTTCTTTGGGGGCGTAGGGAAGACAGCAGCCCACTGCCTGGGAAGAGTGGGTCAGCTATGGGGAGGGAGGGCTGTAGGCTTCACTGGGTGAGTGGCTTAGCCTCTGAGCCAACTTTCTCCTCAGGGAGCCTATGGTAACTCTCCACTGTATGCCAAGCCCTGTGCCAACACAGAACACAATCCGAAGAGTAAGACAGGCATGCCTCCTGGGCGGGGCAAGTCAGAGGGTGGTAAGAGCCCCCTCCCATCCTAAAGCAAAAATAAAGGGGCCACGAGCTTGAAGAGCGTGTGCGTGTGTGTGTGTGTGTGTGTGTGTGTGTGTGTGTGTGTGTGTGTGAACAAAGAGGCTGGTGTGGCTGGAACATCAGAGGTGGAAAGGAGAGCTTGCGTAAGGGAAGGCCCCGAAAGACAGCCCATGGTGGACCACTGTATAGATGGGAAAGTTTGGAGGGTGCTGTATGTGAGAGGTGTGACCTCTTTGCATTTTAAAAGCTCACTCTGGCTGCTGGAATTCTCAAGAATAGACTGTAGAGGGCAGGGTAGCAATGAAGAGGCCTTTCTGAGGTGAGAGGAGGCAGGAGATGAGGGCAATGCAGAGATGGGAAGTGGTCCTGTGTGACTGTTTGGAGGAATTTACTGGAAGATAGGATGTGAGATATGAAGGGATGAAGAGTCAAGAATATCTCCCTGGTACCTGGGGAGTGGATTGGAAAGTGGATATGGAAATAGGAAGCAGGAGCCAGATTTGCATAGGCTGGGTATGTTTGTCTCAGACATCCGGGTTAGACCTCAGGCAGAGTAGAGGGTATAGGTCTGAACTTGAAGAGAGAGACTTGTCCAGAAAGAGAAATCTGGGAGTCAACAACATGTATATAGCTGGTGTTTAAGCCACGGGAGTCCCCGGATCCCTGGAGCTCAGCCTCTCAGCCTTTCCACTCCCTGAGTGTTTGGGCCCAGACGATACTGTCGTGGAAACTGTCCTGGGCACTATGGAATTTTAGCAGTACCTCTGGCCACCCACCAGGTGACAGTAGCCAACCCTCCACTACCTTGTGACCATCACAGTATCTCCACATCATACCACACCTCCTCAAAACTGCCCCCTTTCCACGGATTCCTGAACCTACTGGCATGCTGACATGTTATTAAGCTCATCAGCCTTCAAGTGTGATAATACGCTCTTACTGGCTGTGACAAGTCCTGTGAAGAACGATGCTTAGTCCTGTGAGAGGGGGAAATGACAGAACCAGATTGATGCCAGAGCACAGAGGCTGGGACAGGCTTCCCCGAGGAGTTGGCATTTAAAACCATGAGGAGAGTGTTCCACACAAAGGAACCTCATACACAAAGGTCCTGGGGCAGGAAAGTATGGCCATCATAGAAAGTCAAAGGCTGTAAGAGGAGCGTGGTGGGTTCGAGAGAAAGCAGAAGGAGAAGTTTGAGCTCCCCCTCCCCCCACAGGACCTATAATGGACCCATAGAAAAGGGTCCCTGATTCATTCCAAGTGAGTGGAATGACCAGGATGCTATGTGGTCAGCTGGTCCGTTTTCAATCCTTGAGCACCGTATGGAAGAGGGTTGGCGATGGGAGTCGTGAAAAGCAGGAAACGAGACTAATGGAGGCTGTGCAGGGGGCGGGGCGGGGGGAGGGGGAGAGGGGTGTCCAGGAGAGAGAAGAGGGTGGCTAGCTAGGCGTGGCAGGAGGGAGAAGCGTGGCCGTTCTGGGATGCTTCTGGAAGCAGCTGCCTGAGACTTACACGTGGATCACACAGGAGGGTGGCAGTCGCCTCAGCTGGCTTGGCAGACAGTGGAGCCGCTCTCACAGGAGGGGCAGGATAAAGAAAGGGAGGCTGATCACAGCTTGGGACCCGCGCGCGGCACGCGGAGTGCCAGAGAGAAAAGCAAGCCAACAGCCAAGCAAGCAGTGGGCTCGCGTGAGTCCTGGGCGAGAGAGATAAATGCAGACATTGTCGGCACACAGGCAGCGTTTAAAAACACTGGAAGGCGCTTGAACACAGAGCGGGGAGAGACAGGAGCTGGGCCCAAACCCTGAGGGAGCCAAATCATGAAAGAAAGAAAGGAGGTGCTGGTGGGGGTGGGGCACTGGAAGGGGGAGACCACTAGCCAGCCGGCAGAAAATCAGAAAGAATCCTGGGAGTCAGGAGAGGAGATTTCAACCTCTGTGAACCTGCTGTCACAGGACTGACACCTGCTTGGAGATTTGGTTATTAATGGCCAAAGCAAGAACACTTTGTGCAAAAATGGCCAATGTCCCGTTTCAGGGTCTCCACTGGATTCAAGGCCTGGGCGGGCAGCACACCCCCTCAGGGTTCAGTTTGGCTTGTGACGTGGAGTTAACCGCAGCCCCTTCACAGGGGGTTATGTCAAGTTGAGATGTGGCCTGTGCCCCGTGTGGCATGAGCGTCTATTGTCAGCTCCCCTTCTTCCTCCCCAACGGTCCTGTCTGAAAGTCACTTGACAGAACAGGAAGGGGTACACAAAGTGGGGTGCGAGAGCCCCAGCCTGTGGGCAGAGCGGGTAGCCAGGATGGGGTGAGGAGGGTGTTCCCATGGGGTAGAGGCAGGGCTCTTATACAGGAGGGCCCACTGTATCACCTGAAGAGTAAAGGTACTTCGTTGTCGGTGGTAATCAGGCTAGAAGCAGATTCACCCCCAAGCTGCCGTAAGTGTACACGGTAACATCTGGCCGGTGGTTCTGCCAGTGAACTCTTGCCATGAGAAAGTCTTAGACATGCCCTATGAAGGGACCACCTACAAAATAACTGGCCTGCATCTTCCAAAGATCAAGGTCATGTATCAGTTGTGGACGCATTCCAGACAGGCACACATCTTTAAAGATGGCGCAGGCTGATGAGCGGTGTTCTTTTCCTATGAACGTTGTTATGGGCATGCACGGGTAAAGTGGGGGGGTCTGAGGGCTAGACAATAGAAGCACATGTGTTCGTCTTCTGTTCTGACATCTGTATCTTGTCTGTCTGAAGGGGAGGGAAGGACACTCCTAATAGCTCAGGGGTGACACCTACTTGCAAGGTACGTAAGGACCCAAGAGTCTTAATAGAGTACTTAGAAATTTTGGTACATTCGGATTGTAAAAAGGAAAGGACCACAGCTGCCTCACACTTGCAGCCCTAGCTATTTGGAAGGCTGAGGCAGGACGATCACAGGAATTGGAGAAGAAGGATGAGGAATTTGAGAAACAATTGATCGATTACTCCTTACACATGCATGGGCCAAAGAGACCTATCCAGCTGCCCCAGGAGACAATGCCCTGTAGGAAAAAAAAAAAAAGACATTGGAGCTGGCTTTGCCTGACGCATTCTGAAAAGCTGTGCCTTGGTCACCTGGCTTTGGCCTGTCCCCAAGGGCTGCAGGCTGGGGGCTCCTTCTGGCAACAGTTTGGGAACTTCGGGACCTAAGGACCTGAGGCTGGAGAGCTGGGACTCAGACTGGACATGACACTCGACGTAGAGAGGCCCCAAACTGGACAGTCTGAAGCCAGGGGAGGTCTCTGCCCTTGCTCTGCGGTGCCCTGGAGCCAGGCCGTCCTCAAGAGCTTGCCTCACTCCCTGCTTGCTGTTTTGTTACGTGTGCAGCAGGGGGCGCACTACAACCTGTCTGGATCACGCACCTGCGAGCGCGTCTGTCATGCCCGTGTATCTGTCTGTAAGACATGCCCACCCAAACGCACTGCCTTCTCTGCATGGCTGCTATCCTGAAAGGGACTTCAGATGCAAGCCCCCCTCCCCAGATTCGACTGAATCACTGAACTATAGTAGGAGCAAAAGATGGGGGACGTTTTGAAGCCGTGTGTGAGAAACACAATTCCTGACATGTGTGTATGAGCTTGTGTGTGAAGCTGAATGCCAGAAGCAACTAAATGTGGCCTATTTAACAAGGCTGATCCCAACAGAGGAAAATTCTGGAACTGCGCCAACCTGTGAAGAAGAACACAGAACAAACCTGAGCATGGCACAAATCACTGTTAGAGAAGTCTGATTTAAAAAAAAAAAAATGAGCTGCACTCAGCGGGAGACACCTGTAATCCCAGCACTGGGGAGGCTGAGGCAGGGGGCCATTCCTGGGCTACAAAGTAACAATAATCTCAAAAACTCCTAAGTAATTGTAATGCATTTATCAAAAGATGCGGAGAGTGGTTGGTTGGTTGGTTTGGTTTTTTTGAAACAAAGTTTCACTCTATAGCTCAGACTGATCTCAGACCTGCATACCTCTCCGGCTTTGCCTCCTAAGGCTGGGATTGCAGCATGGGCCACCACACTGAACATTGTGTCAACATTTCACCCTGTAGCCCAAGCTGATCTCGAACTCACAACTCTCCTGCCTCAGCCTCCTGAGGTGCAGGCACACACCACTGAGCAGGGCATGAATTCTCATCTGGCTGTGCCTGTGGGTCACTTTGGATTCTTCCAATCTCAGGACCTTTGCCACAAGGAGTGTCCTCATATTGGTTCTCAGAATCTTGATAGGGACCCAAAATGGTCCTGGGTGCCTCTAATGCCATCAGCACACATCTTCGGGCTCACTCAGGGGAGAGGAGAGGGCCACTGCTGTGGCTGTTAGTGTAATCAATCCCATCACTCCTGGCCTCAGCTTCCATGAGGACCACTCCACGTCTAAAAGCCTCTCATGGCCTCCTGACTCAAGTTCCTGTTTCTCTAAGAAAGCAAGCAGCAGTGAATCACTGTCAGAGTGTGTAGACCAGAGAGCCAGGCTCTGCTGTCCTTCCCAGAAAGACATACAAAGCAAATCTGAGAAACTTAGGTTTTGTTTTTTTTTTTAAAGATTTATTTATTTATTATGTATAGTGTTCTGTTTGCATGTATCCCTGCAGGCCAGAAGAGGGAGCCAGATCTCATTACAGATGGCTGTGAGCCACCATGTGGGTGCTGGGAATTGAACTCAGAACTTCTGGAAGAACAGCCAGTGTTCTTAACCTCTGAGCCATCTCTCCAGCACCAAAACTTAAGTTTTTTGCAAGACAAACAGACAAACAAACCCGAGTTCATTCTTAAAGGTGCACAGGATGGGCATACAGATATTTTAACAGTACAAAACAAATAGCAAAACCATGTTCATATCATGTCTCCACGTAGAGGGAAGGGTGTCTTATGAGACTGGAGTCATGATGCATATTTTTCTGGCCAGTGTAAGGAGATAGCAGACTTTTGTTGTTGTTATCGTTGTTACTGTTTTCAGGCAGAGTCTCTCTGTGTAGCCCTGGCTGTTCTGGAACTCCCTCTGTAGACCAGACTGTAATCCACAGAGATCTGCCTGCCTCTGCCTCCTGAGTGCTGGGATTAAAGGAGTGCGCTACCATCACCCAGCTGATAACATATTTGTATAACATTACATGTAATATTTTATAACAAGTACACGAACTTAAAGCATGCCTTCCCAGTTATGCAGAAGGCTGAAATGGGAAGATTGCAAGTTCAAGGCCAACCTAGGCTACGGACCATGACCCTGATTTGGGGAGCAAGTTGGATGCAGCACTAGCATAGAACACTTGTCTATCGAATGGAGTACAGCCCTGGATTCCACTCTCGCTACTGCAACAGATCCCAAGCATCTTTATCATTCACAAGAAAGAAACGTGGTACAGCCTTCCACAATGCTTCCATCTGCAAAGTTGTAGTGGGTGGATACCTTATCTCCTAGGGTAGAAACATCATACAGTGTGGAAACAGACACAGCAATTCTATGGCCCCAAGGGCATTGCATTCTGCCGAGCTGTCCCAGGTGCTAAGAAGTTTAATTTGGGCAGCACCACTGGGCACGGAAGGAGGCAATCAGTCCAGACATATCATGAAGGCCTGTCAGAAGCCCGAGATCCCACCTCAGAAAACAAACAAACAACCACAGTGTGATACGAGATTGTGAGCATGGCTGCTATCAAAAACATTAAAACTGGGGTTGGAGAGATGGCTCAGCAGTTAAGAGTGTTCACTGCTCTTCCAGGGGACCCATGTCCCAGCCCCTATACCAGGAGGCTCATAACTGCCTGGGACTCCAGCTCCAGGGTACCTGACAGCCTCTTCTGGCCTCTGCAGGCACCCACACACAACATGCAAACACACAACACACAGACACACATACGTACACATAAATGAAAATAAAACTAAAAATATTTTTTAAATCGAGTTTTGCCAAGGATGTGGGATGTCTTGTGCCCTGGGGACAGGAAAGAGAAAGGAACGAGCCACTCTGGAAAATAGCTCTGTAGCTTCTCAAATGTCAGCAAGAGAAATTAGCATGTGGCTCAGAAACCCCACTTCTGGATATAAACCAAAATAGCTGAAAGCAGGATATTTTTGTTTGTTTGTTTGTTTGTTTGTTTGTTTGTTGAGATGGGTGCTCTCTAGCCCACCATGATCTCAAATAGACAAGGATGACATGGACTCACAATCCTCCTGCCTCCACCTCCCAAATGCTGGGATATTACAGACCTGCATTGACATGCTCAGCTTTGAAACCAGGATATCAAAGAGGTGTGTGTGTGTGTGTGTGTTTTTAATGGCACTTCAAACAGAAGTAACTTTTTTTTTTTTTTTTTTTTTTTTTTGGTTTTTCGAGACAGGGTTTCTCTGTGTAGCTTTGCGCCTTTCCTGGAACTCACTTGGTAGCCCAGACTGGCCTTGAACTCACAGAGATCCGCCTGGCTCTGCCTCCTGAGTGCCGGGATTAAAGGCGTGCGCCACCACTGCCTGGCCTCAGAAGTAACTTTTTCATGTTTTATTTTTTTTATTTTTATTTTACGTCCATTGGTTTTTCTGCCTGTCTGCATATCTGTGTGAAGGTGTCAGATCCCCTGGAACTGGAGTTACAGACAGTTATGAGCTGCCAAGTGGGTGCTGAGAGTTGAACCCGAGTCCTCTGGAAGAGCAGGAAGTGTTCTTAATCTCTGAGCCATCTCTCCAGTCCAAATTTTTAATTTAGCCTTTAAAAAAAAAAAAAAAGGTAGCTGGGCGGTGGTGACGCACGCCTTTAATCCCAGCACTCGGGAGGCAGAGCCAGGCGGATCGCTCTGAGTTCGAGGCCAGCCTGGGCTACCAAGTGAGCTCCAGGAAAGGCACAAAACTACACAGAGAAACCCTGTCTCGAAAAACCAAAAAAAAAAAAAAAAAAAAGGCAGTATGATGAATGGTCGTTTGTTGTCTATCACAGTGGCAGAGAGTCAAATTCACATTTCCATATGAGATGAGACGGACTTCAGACCAAACAACCACGTGTCCTGTCCATTGTTTCTGAAGAGAATGGTCAGAAGCACACACCACAGGCCAGAGTACAGCCCTTGACTAATCAGATGCCCTGGGTGCCCCACACTTCCGCCTGCTGCTCTTTGGTTTTGTTAATTCCCCTGCTCTTCGAGGACACCCACAGGACATTGCTAATGGGTAGGGACACTGTTAGTGGCGGTCAACCCTGGCAGCCAATGACTCCACTGAGTTGAAGTTAGAGGAGACTAGGGACTGAGGGGGGGACCTAGCCCCTCCCCCCCTTGCAGGATAGGTGAGCATCTTCCTAACTGATGGCTTCTATTTTCCCAGTCACTTGGGGCAGGTCAGCACTGAGGGCTGAGGAGAGAGGAGAGGACACAGAGGAATCCAGGAGCCAGCCAGGGCCTGGAGCTCACAGTCCTGAGCTTTCAGTCACTTCTCTCTCCTCGCTGGGTACGGACCAGGAGCTCTCAGCCGTACGAAAGAATAGGCAGGTTATTGAGTTCTGTCGGGGGGTCAGTCCTGAGAACAACATGCTGCAGGCCCAGGGAGAAGCTGCATTGACAAAATGTGAGGGTAATGCTTCCCAGGAGCCCAACAGCTCCTGCCCATCTATCTTCCTCCCCCTGAGAGCCTACACAGAACGCCTGACCCATGAGCTCGCCTTGCCTCTTGCAGAGATTGGTGTGGGCATCACCGGCTTCGGCGTCTTCTTCATCCTCTTCGGGATACTCCTGTACTTCGACTCCGTGCTCCTGGCTTTCGGCAATGTGAGTCCCCAGGCACTAGGTACCGCTCCTGGATGGCCAGGAGGGTCAGCCCCAAGTTCATTCAGATCATAGCTGTTCAGGGGGAATGAGGACTTGGTGTGGGTGTGGACGACACCAGGGTCTGTGGAAACGGAGAACCTGAAATGATTACACCAAGCTCTAGGTGAGGTCCTGGTGTTCCGGTGATGAATTAGACCCTGTCCCCACCCCTGAATCCCTGCATTTAGGGACAAGGGTGTAACCCGCGCCTCCAGGCCAGCAGAAGCTGTGGGAAAAGCCAGAGTAAGGTGAATGCTTCATTATGAATCAAGGACTGAGAGGAAGGAGTGGACCAAAGACAGCTGGGAAGGAAATGGAGTGGTTGGGACGTTGAAAGAAAAGGCATGGTGGAGGTGTGGGGGGGCATGGAACTACTAGAAGGAAGAGTTCAATTCTGTGGGAGCCTGGGCCCCATAAAGTGACCCCTAGGAACCATGTTGAAGGCTCTGGCAGAACCACACAGGGGCCACCTTTCAGGGACTTTGGGTACCAACATCTTGTCTGTAAAAGGGGAGGATCTCACTCCACAGCAGCCTCCCCAGGAGTCTATATAAGGAGCTTGGAGCTGAGGAACTGGGTGGGAAGCGAAAGGCCTTCAAGTCCATCCCTCTGCCTCAGGAAATTTCTATTCTCTACTAGATAGAGTCATTTCCAGCTCTGGGATTCTACCCCACTGCTGGGACACACACGGACACACACACGGAAACACACACATCGTGACACACACACACACACGGAGACACACACACACTGTGACACACACACTGAGACACACACCAACACACACACAACACACCAACACACACACACACACCAAGACACACATACACACACCATAAAACACATACACCATAAAACATACACACACACCAAGACACATGCACACACACCAAGACACACACACACACACACACACACACACACACACACCATAAAACACACACACACACCAAGACACACACACACACACACACACACACACCGTAAAACACACACCGAGCCCCAGGGATGGGGTGGAACTTGCTCTCTCTGTCCTCACTCTCCCCTGGGCCTGCAGCTGCTGTTCCTGACCGGCCTCTCCCTCATCATCGGCCTGAGGAGGACGTTTTCCTTCTTCTTTCAACGACACAAGCTCAAGGGGACCAGTTTCTTCCTGGGGGGTGTAGCCATCGTCTTGCTACGCTGGCCGCTGCTGGGCATGCTCCTGGAGGCCTACGGATTTGTTAGCCTCTTCAAGTGAGTACCATCTCCCTCAACCTCGGTCCACTGGGGTTTAGGGAGAAATGGCCTGGCCAAGATTCAAACCTCGAATCTCCTTACTCATCCAGGACACTAGGGGTTCACTTCCCAGCCTGGCTGCCTCCAGGCTGTGTGAAGGATCAGGCATCCATCCCGTCAGGCCTGGCCAGCTTGAAAAGCGAAGGAAGCCTCAGCGGCGGCAGGAGGATGCTGAGACACAAGGCTGTGCCCACATGAACACAATCTCCAGCCGCCATCCATGCCAGGGGCTCAGCCACCAGTGTAGATGTTCCCCACCCCATCTAGCAAAGAAGAGAGGGCATCAGGCCAGGATAAATAATCATGAGAGGAACTCACAAAAATGTGTGCCCTTTGAGCTTGGCTGTATGTGAGGCCCTATGACGTAGGTACCAATACTGCTCAGCACATTTGAAAACTGGCCGTGGGTTCAGAGAAGTGAGGGATTTGTTCAGAGCGTACAGTGTTGGTGAGAGGCAGAGCCACGATGGGACTGTAAGACCCCTGAGCTCAGCCCGTGGTTCTCGGTCACTTTTCTCTGCTGCTTCTTTAACAGACCCCAGGACATGTCTGTCCCCAGGGCCCAGGGGCTGCTCTCCCGGGAGCCAAAGCCTGAGCCTCTGAGTAGGGGATGTCAGCCTTATTACCTTCCTCCTCCCCTCCTGGGCCACCACTGACCCCGGTCCTCTCTTCCATTCCTAGGGGCTTTTTCCCTGTGGCCTTTGGATTCCTGGGCAGTGTTTCTAACATCCCCTTCCTGAGCACCGTGAGTAGATGGAGTCTGGGCTTGGCAGTGGTGTCTGGGCTGGGAGAGGGCACAGAACGGGTTAAAGTGGTCTCCTAAGTGCAGCAGATCTCCCCTCCCCCCTCTAGCCCCCCCATACCCTCTGAGACACACCCACCCCAGGTTCACTCCCCTCCCTCCCTGCTCCTTCTCCACTTGATAAGATCCAAAGCGAGGGCCCTGTAGGCTGGAGTGGCTAAGGTGTGGGTGGGGAGGAGGCAGTCATGAACAGCTCCCCAGCCCAAGAAATGAAAACTCTAGGTGACCCAGACACCATGTGCTTCTGGGACACGTGATTAAGTCTGGGCCACGGGCATGTACGACAGCTGGTGACATCAGATAAAGCGGGGAGTGGAGCCTGTTCTGGGCCCACACCTGCCTCTGAAGTCCCTGACAGATGCACACTGAGACACCCAGGAAGGGGGCCAGAACCCCACATCTTGCAGCGCCTGCCAGCTGGGCACACCCTACTGCCCGTCACCACATGCAGTGCAGCATAGCCCCGAATCTCAAGGCCAGCTGGGTAATAGCCTGGATATTGAGTCCGCTTCCCACTCTTTGTCTGGAATAATGATTCTTGGCTCCCACAGCTGTCGCAGAAATTTCAAGGCTCCAGCTCCATGGTCTGAACCGTCGAGATGCGCTCCTTGAACTTGGATGGTTGGTGGAGGGGCTGGAAGGGGAATGGGGGTATTCCTCATGAGCCCCCCCCTCCCCAGCACTGACTTACTTCTCATCACACTCGGGAAGATGGAGCGGACTGACTGATCTTAACCCCCCAAGTTATGTCAAGACGCTGCCAGGAGTACAGATCCTGACCCTGGCACCCAGCGGAGGCTGGAAGCAACTTTCCCAACCTGAATTTATACAGGGGAGTGAAGATTAAATCCTCAAGCTGTGAATGTGTCTGAGATTTGGGGTTGATGTCTCCAGTCCAGGGTATCCAGCCCAGCCCCAGGTTGGACTTGCAATCACTTCCCACCCTGACACTACAAGGTGTAATTGCAACCTCTAAGAGTCAGCCCCTGCAATTGGTATCATTTTCATGCTGGTATTTAACATCCTAAAGGGTTTGATATGCTTCTAAGCTTCAGTTAACATTAGGCAAGCAATGGAAACTAACCCATACCGCAGGAAGAATATCTCAGCCCTGAGGTGGCCACTCCACACAGGAGACAGCAGGTAGAGTTGGTGCAGAAACCACCTTCTGCTTGGGGGTGGATGGTGCCATTGCCTTCAGAGAAGCCAGCCTCACAGAGGAGCTGGTCCTTATTCTGGGGTGCCCCTTGTCTCATGGTAAAAGAGTTTTTCTTTGTTTTGTTTTTCTGAGACAAGGTTGGCCTGGAACTCACGATCATCCTGCTTCAAGTGTCTGAGTGGCGGGATTATATATATGATGCACCATACAGGCTTAAAAGGAGTGGACCGAAGAAAGGCACAGGCCAGGCTTTGGTGGCACACACTTTGAATCCCAGTACTTGGGAAGCAGAATCAAACGGATCTCTTGTGGGTTCAAAGCCAGCCAAGGCTGCAGTGAGACTCTGTCTAAAATAAAATAGCAAACAACAACAACAAAACCCTCAAGGGAAGAAGGGGGCATCAGAGTCATGGTGAGCATCCACTGAGCTCCTTCCTCTTTCTGTCTGGCAGCGGAGTAGGTGCTAGGGGGTACCAACGGAGAGGCTGCCCTCGCCCTTCAGGCACCCAGTGCCGCCCACTCTCCGAATCTGCTTTCTCAAGGCCAGCTTGGCAGCATCAAGTACAAAATAAGTATTCCCTCTCCCTCTCTTCCTTCTGTAGCATTATTATAATTTGGGGGTGGGGGCGGGGCAAGGTCTCACCACGTAGGACAGGTTGTCTGCAAACTCATAGGTCCAGCCGCCTCTGCCACCCAAGCGCTGGGGGTGTGCCACTGTGCCGGCCACGTTTTGATTTTTTGAGACAACATCTCAGCTCTGTCACCCAGCCTGGCCTGGCACTCTCTGCATATCCCAGACTGACTTCAGCCTTATCATCCCTCTGCCTCAGGCACCCAGGAGGTAGAATTCCGTGTATGGGCTGCTAGGGCCAGCTTCACTCTCCTTCCTTACAGCCAGCTGCTTATAGAACTGTCCAGCACATCTGACCATGCCCTGTCTCATGTGTGCATCCCGGGTCATGCAGGAGTTCGGTAATTAAGGGGAAAAAGAGGAGAGGAGACACTCCAGCCCCCAGCCCCACCCCCACTCTCAATTCACAGCACAGGAGCCACCCCCGATGGAGGCCGATCTGACCTGGCTTTCTCTCTGAGAGGGCAGCATGTGGGCATTGAGGAGCCTCTGGGTCAGGCTGTGCCCTTCCCCTCCTCCCCCAGCCTGTGTCTTCTATTCACTTTGGGGTGTGTGTGTGTGTGTGTGTGTGTTGTCAGAGAGGGACAAGACATTTCACATACCCTCCCCAGTCACTTTCTCTTCATTGTTTGGGGCAGGATGAGTCTCCAGCTGCAAGGGAGGGGGTGTCAAGAGGATGGAGATGATGGAAGAATTAGCGAGATTATGAGAGCAGCCTTGGGCGGTTTCTGGGGGCGAGGAAATCGATGGCTCCAGCCAGGAGGCGGAAGCCAGCGGCAGGGCGTGGAGTTCCGAGGAGGGTCTGGGAGGGCAGGGGTGGGATTGTGCCTGGAGACGTCACCCACCTAGACTTCATAAAAGGGGCTGTGATCAGGGAGCCAGAGAGAGTGAGCCCGGGAGCCAGTGGCTCCTCTCAGTGTGTTTCAACTACCCAAGTGGCTCTCCTCCCTCCAGCCCTCAAGCCAGAACCAAGGTAGGTACCCTGCTGACAGGACCCGGGACTGCCCGGACCCCGGGGAGGGTCTGGGGAAGCAGACCTTCAACCCAAGGCCAGGTGGAGGCATCAAGTAAACAGAACACAAGGAGCACTCATCACCCCTGATTGACAGGCTGGCCAAATGATCCTGGGATGCCTGGCTGAATACACCGGCCCGTGTTTTGTGTGGTGTGTGTGTGTGTGTGTGTGTGTGTGTGTGTGTGTGTGTGTTCTTGTTGATTTTCAAACAGTTCAATTCTACTGCACACATCATGTGTCCCGAAGACGAAGCCGTCAATTAAGTTATCAGGGTCTGGGGTGTCTGTGTGTGGCATGTGTATGGTGCCTGGGAGATATCTGTGGTATGTATTTGGGGTAATGTGTTGTACATTATTTTATGTATTTATTATTATTTATTTTGCTGTGTATATGTGTGAGCAGAGCGCACATGTGGAAGTCAAGAGGACAACTTTGGGGTGTTGGTATCCCCTTTCCTCCTGTGGGCCCCGGGGATCAGACTCAGATTGTCAAGCTTGATGGCCAGCACATTTATCTGCTGAGCCATCTCACCAGGCCCATGTCGGATGTTAGTGCGTTGGCGTGTGGTTTGTGTGTGGTACGTGTGTGTATGTGGGGTGAGGTCATGCTGGGGGCCGGCAGAGTTCTCCCATGGTACACATGAGAAGTGCTGTCCATGATGGGACGGAGTACTACAGGGACAGAGAGACAGACATCAGGATCACCAGCCTCCGCCTGATAACACCCCCCCTCCTCACCTCTCCCCCTGCTCTGTTCAGAGAAGCCAGGAGGCCCCATCTTCAGAGCCGATACATTCCTGCCTTCCTCAGGCCCCTTTGGGATAGAACTTGGGATGGTTTTCTCTCCGTATGAAGAAGTTCTAGCTTTGTATCTGGCAGCCCCTATACCCAGCCCTGCCTACCAGTCCAGCACCCTGGTGCCAGTCCAGACAGATCGATCCCCTGAGGTGAGGGGCTTCTGCAAGCCCTCTTCATGGGGCACACGCTTGCTCAGGTGCCGCCGCCGCCTGGACCCTCCAGGTTGGGCTTCCCTGCATTTTAACATGTGTCTGGTGTTGTTTTGAAATGACCCACTTGTCTAGGCTGCCTACGAGTCAGCTTCTTACACTAGGCTTGAGATCAGCGGTACCCGGTACCCGGTGTCGGCACCCTCAGCACCCCGGCACCTAGCACGGTCCTAGTCTGTCGTCCCCAGCAATGCCTTCCCAACACTAGCCCTTAGAACTAAGGCTCTCCCTAGTGGATTTGGTCTCTACTCTGTCTTCTATTCAGGCCTTAAGGCAGCTGCAGAACCGCATCTGGCTTTCAGGGTGTCACAGAATCAGTCTTAGTAGCCTTCTATCTGATCAGGCAGCTGGTGGCCTGGAGATGGGCGTGGCCTACTCGGGATTCATGGGATGAGGGAAAAGTTGGAGGATTCTTACCCTCTGCACCATGTGTGAGTCTGCAGTTGGACTGGGGGTGGGGACGCGGTAGTAGGGGGGCATAGTGGCGGGATGTGTGGTGCTGAGAAACTGCTCCTAACACTTGGTCACAATGACAACTCCTCACCCCGTCCTCCGACAGAAGCCTAGGTTCAACCTGCTGTGGCACCAGCCTCCTGGGCACTTTGTAAGGACCCATTTGTGGGACAGTTTCAAAGTGCCTGATGACTTCTTCTTCAAAGGGAACTTGGACTTGGGAGCTGGAGAGGCGGGCTGGAATGGGGAGCAGGGGAGGAGAGAGGCAGAGAGGCTAGATGAGGGTCAGGCTACACAGCCCCTATCTCAGCAGTTAGATGGATGAGGCCAATTTAGTTGACGACCTCCCAGAGCTCATGAGAATAGAGGCAACTGATGGGCTAGATGAAAGAAGGGCTTTTCCCGTCCTGAATTATAGGCAATAAGACAATTTGGTGATGGTCTCCAAGGCTGCGGAGAGCTCTGAGAACGTGCAAGATGATTGCCTTTTTCTTCCTTTTTTCCTGGAAGAGATAAGGAATTGGGTTTCTATTATAGCAGCATGGCCAGGGCCGGACTGAGGAAGGCGTGTGCTACCTGGGAGAGCCGAGCACATAAAGCATATTTGCACAGACCCCAGCACAAAAGGGCTTGATCCTAGACTCCCAAGAGAAAAGTTGAACCTCAGAGCACGCTCCTGCGTGACCTCATCTACCTCCCCTCCCTGGTCACCCCCCCCCAGATGGCCCCTTCCCCTCCTTCTACATCCTTCTCCAGCAAACCTACGACCCACAACCCCCCCCCTCCCCATTGTCCAGCGTAAGCAGCTCACTCCTTCCACCAAATCTGACCTTTCCTTTTCATCCATTCTCCCTTCCTCCCTCGCTCCCCCAGTCCTGGTCCCTGTGGCCTTGTTTCAGGCCTATCCTTCCACAGGTCATCTCTGGTCACAGGGCTTTCTCCTCTCCCCCAGGTTCTCTCTCCCACCTAGGCTCTGGCACACTGCTAACTCTGACCCGGTCTTTATTGCCTCTCTCTGTCTCACTCAGCCTCGGGACACCTTGTGGACCTGCCTCTTCCTGCCAGAATGACCTCATTGGCTTCTTGGCAGCTGCTGCTTCTCCTCTGTGTCGCCACCTTTGGGGAGCCACCGGCAAAGGTGGCACCTGGACCCACAGGTACGCACGGTCCAGGAAGAGAGGCGTGAGAGTCATTGCACATGAGACTTAGCCTCTTTTTCAGTCTGTAGCCAGGCGGCTGACAGGAGTTTAATGAGGGCACTTCCTGGATACCTGGGGCTGGCCCAGCCGTCTGCTGTGAACACAGGAGGCTCAGGGACCTATTAACCCCAGCCCCTTGGTGACTGTCTCCTGCTGTGCCCTCTGCTCTATCCCAAGTGCTTCTCTGTGTGGAGGCTGGGAAGGAGCTGAATGTGTAAGCGACTTTCATCTGTGACCCCACATCCCTTAAGGGGGGTGGAAAACAAAACCATGAAAAACAAAAACCTCAACAGACAGACCGACCTTGACGCCTATCAACCTCATGAGTTCACTGGGGGAACTGATGAGCTCGGGGAAACTGAAGTCCATAGAGGCAGTGTTCCCCCAAGTTATTCAGCCAAATGCTGACGAATCCCAGCAGGTGCCGGGGTACCCCAAGAGCATGGCTGCTGAGTCACAGCATGAGTTTGAATTCTCCTTGGTGGTCTGCTTTCTGTACATATTGGAGCTTGCTCAAGCCTCTCTGGACCTCAGATCTTAGGCATGGAATGCAGGACACCCCCTGCGAATCTGACATCATTGCACATAACCAAATCAAAAGGAACAGGGGCCCAGACACCTCACCAATGGTGTCATCATTCCAGGGCAAGGAATAACCCCACCACTGTCCAGGGACATTGGCTATTGGCTCTCTGGCCACACAGTATATCCTGTGTATGGAACTGAGATCTCTCCCACACCAGTTACCCAGAGAAGGTAGGAGAGGCCTCCCAGATGGTTATTATTAATCTTGGACCATGGCCACACTCATCTCTAAAGTGTGCCAGGGAATCGAGGAGCCAAGCTCAATGCCATCCTCCGCCCCAACACCCACTCACACCAGGCCTCGTTGCTACTAACTCGCTATAATTGACTAGACTTATTGTGTGCTCTGAGCTGCTTGTCCTGTTTTACTGCCAGAGAGAGAGAGGGAGGGAGGGAGAGAGGGAGAGAGGTGAGAGAGAGAGGGAGAGAGAGGGAGGGAGAGAGGGAGGGAGGGAGGTGGGAGAGAGAGGAAGAGGGAGAGAGAGTGAGGGAGAGTGAGGGAGAGAGTTTAATGAGCCTTGTCTGTGAAGTGTTTCCAGAGCGAGCCTTGTTAGTCTCCAGCAGGAAGAGAAGGCATTGCACCTGCCTGGGGGAGCTGTGCCTGCAAGGGCAAACATAGGTAGATAATGTCTGGTCATCACCGAGTCTTGAGACTGTATGTGGAGGTTTGCGATTGTCCTCAGCCACCAGGGTCAGGTCACAGGTGCCGGGGGCACAATGGCCTTGGCTCCACTTGGTTGATTCCCGTTACTCCAACTTTTTCATTAGCTTTTATTTGATGAGCACTTATTGAGGCCCTACTATGTGCGGGGTACTGTTTCAAGCATTCTGAAAGATAAATGGATTCCCCTCCCTCCCCTGCGACCCAGGTGCTCCTGGGCCACTCAAATTCCAGATGCAGACACTCAGCTGAGGGACCAGGCAGAGAGCCCAGAAGAGGGACAGAGCAGAGGGTCCCCCCTACATACTTTGGTTTTCCAAACTCTCTGCTTCCTCAAAGGAGGTAGTTTAATCAAGTTGTTTAGGGAGAATTTTGGCCAGCACTTGAAAGCAAAGCTATTGGAGGAGAGGGAGGGGCAAACATCTAACAAAGTAGCACTTTGGCTCCACACTGAGGTCAGAGCCGAGCTTCTGAGGTTGAGGACCCAGGGCCAGCCTCCGGAGGTCTGAGCCTGTGTCCAAAGCAAGCCTTGCCGCCCCAGCCTCACTTGCCTGTGCTCTCTGTCCTAGGTCAGCGGCCCGGACCCCAGGAACTCATCAACGCCTGGGAAAAGGGCCCGCGGTGCGCGGAGCAGAGACCTGGGGTTGCAGGGCTGCGAGCTCGTAGGACCTCGCCGCCGCCGTGCCCACCGGTGGAGAGTTCCTCAGGGCGCCAGCGGCCTCCGTGCGCCGCCGCTCGCAGTCGCCTGATTCCTGCACCCCGCGGAGCGGTGCTGGTGCAGCGCGAGAAGGACCTGTCAGCCTACAACTGGAACTCCTTCGGCCTGCGCTACGGCAGGAGGCAGGCGGCGCGGGCGGCGCGGGGCTGAGTGCAGGGCGGTGCGGGGATTGCGGCCTCAGTCCGCGGGCATGCAGGGCTGGGGTAGGAGACTTCTGGACTAGGGTAATAAAGCAATGCTGCTGTCTCACTGCTTGCGATTCCTCCCTGACATCTGCGGAACAGTGCAGATGGGGCAGGTCCTCGTCTCTCTCAGTTGCCTCTTAGCTGATTTCAAGATGTCTCGGGTGCCAAAGTCGGTGCTTTTGAAACTAATAGTTAAGGGAGGCCCTGGCTGTACCCCAGTCTGTTGCAACTCAATGCTTTGAAAATATAAAATAAAAAATTAAGGGGCGGGAGAAATGACTCGGCTGTTAAGAGCACTTGCGGCTTCTTCTAGAGGATTCGAGTTTGGTTCCCAACACTCAGTGGACACAGCCACCTGTAACTCTAGCTCCAAGGGATCTAAAGCCGTCTTCTGGCCTCTTGGGCATCCTACCCTCACACGCACATAACCTCAGACAGACAGACATGCATACACTAATTAAAAATAAAATAAATCTTTACATTAAAAAAATGAATTGCTGAAAATAATATAAAACCTAAAGAGGTGCCCAAACTGGATACCACTTGGACACTTCAGCAAGATAAAATTTTGTTCTTTTTAAAAATACATATCTATTAGAATGAAGTTGTTCGTTTGTTTTGAGACAGTTTTGCTAGGTAGCCCTGGCTGGCCTGGAACTCATTAGCTAGACCAGACTGGCTTGCAGAGATGGACCTGCCTCCAGCTGTCAAGCGCTGGGATTAAAAGCTGTGTCCACCACTCCCAAGCCCAAGCCCAGGTTTCTCTGAAATGTTCTGAAGCGGCCCTCCTCGTTCTGAGACTTCCCTTCTTTCCTGATAGAAGTTTTGCCGCACACTTTGAACGGCGGGGGGAGTGGGACCCGGACCCATCAAGTTCCTTCCCTTCAATGTCCCTGTATCAGTCAGTTGAACAGAATGATCTGCAAGCTAGTGCCAACCACTGCCCTCTTGGCAGCGGGTTAACTGTCACCTGAGCCCGTCACCAGGCTTCTGTGGGGCTGCCTGGCCCCTGGGCATGGAGGTGCAAGGGATGTCAGGAGTATCCTTCTCTCCCAGGAAAGCTCTTTGCTTGGGACCATCCCAGCATGGGTATGTCTTTTTCTGGTCTTTGTAGTAGCATGCTGAGGGCCCAGAAGATAAATGACTCATGGAGTCCAAGCTTGTGACGGTGAGCTAATGGTTCCAGCACCCCCCCCCCCCCCCCCCCCCCCCCCCCCCCTCCCGCCTCCCCCGTCACAGCTGCACCTGCCAGCCTCTTTAAAATGACAAGGCTCTCATCTGAGTCAGCTCCTGGCCCCCAACAGCTGGGGAGTAGAAATTTAGGTAGAAAAGTAGTAGAACCGGTCATTAGGAAACCCCAGGAAATCTATCCTCCTGCCCACAAGATGCCACAGCCTAATCCGAGAGCCGTGGGGTTCTCTAGTCCACTTTCTCAGGGATTATAGGGTCTCCTCACCCCCATGCTGTAAAGCACCACGGTGTTCTGCTCATCACAGAAACCAGGAGAGCACAGGATGGAGGCAGAGCTGCGTTGCTATGGCAACACAATAGGCTGTCAAGGGAACATGACAACTTGTCCCCATCCCCATCTTTATCCTTGAAATTGCCCTCCAGGATCTGCTGTGAGCTCGTGTTGAAGCATGTCATGTCAGTATCGTGACACTGTTGACATTGGAAAGGGCGCCCCAATAGCATGGGTGTGTTGCTGTACCTCATGGAAAGGAATAAACATAACACCTGTTCCCACGAGTGTTTTTTTCTCACCGACTCCAGTCCTTTTTTTTCCCGGTGAAGCTTGTAGGTAATCAAAGACTATGGGTCCCTGAGCTCTGCTCTCAGCCCAGTGTTTATGAAACTCCTGTGGCTCCCTCTACCCACCCCTTTGTTGTTGAGGCAAGGAGGATTGCCGCTTTAGAGGCAGGACAGTACAGTGAGTCCTTTGCTACAAGAAGCAGGCCTCTCCGTGCGGAACTGGAGTAGGTGAGAGAATCTGCATGCAGGGACATGTGCGTGTCCCTGTGTGACCTGGGTGTGGTTCAGCCCCCTGACCACATTTCAGGCCTTGCCAGCTCTCAGCACAGCCAAGTGCATCCTGAGCTCTCTGTGGTAACTGACCCAGAGGTCCATTGCAGTAGACAGCTGAAAGGCGATCTAATTCTATGTCCCATGCCTCTGGACCCTAAACTACCACCTACAAGACTCTGGGCTTCCCAGTTCTTGGCTCCATGTCACTGAAAAGACTGGGATCTCTATGGGACACAAGAGATCTTTGGTTTCCTGTGGCTCCAATCTTAACTTTCAACCTGCTCTCCAGACTGAAGGAAAGGCAGGGCAAAAGGAAACTGGAAGATATAATATTACATGTCCCCAAGGTTCCCAGGACCCTCTCCAAAGCTCAAAGACTTGAATGCAGAGATGCACAGGGGCTCTCAATCCTAAAGTGCCCGGGGGTAAGGCATCTAGAGGGTAAGGGCATCCTTCACTGTGGGGATGAGTCTACCCCAGGCTCTACCCCTCTGGAGTAGTCTCCCATCCCTGAGGAAAGAAATACAGTGGTCAGGGGTAGGAGGGGAACAGGGAGATTTTGGCCTCTCGTATCACTCTTAGTATGTTCACAAGCAATGTTGAGTATCTATAGTTTGTCAAGCAAAGAGTCACCTCATTTCATCCTCACAATAACATATGAGATGGGAAGTATACTATAAGCTCCATTGCATAGAAAAGAATTAGGGCTGGGTGGCGGTGGGGCACGCCTTTAATCCCAGCACTCAGGAGGCAGAGGCAGGTGGATCCCTGTGAGTTCGAGGCCAGCCTGGTCTACAGGGCGAGATCCAGGACAGGCTACAAAACCACACAGAGAAACCCTGTCTCGAACCCCCCCCCCCCCCGAAAAAAAAGAAAGTGGGCTCAGAGAAGTAGGTGAAATGTGCCCACATGATGTTCCTGGGAAGGTATAGCGTCAAGAGGGAGACACATTCCCACATGCCCACCTTCTATCTGCAGTCAGTCCATCTTCCTCCGGCCCCTCCTTCTCCAGCCCCCAGCCCCTCCTTCTCCAGCCCCCACCCTTGGAAGCAGCACCCCCACCCCACTCCTGTCTGCCCAAGGATTTGCTTTAGGATGCAGATCCAGGAGCCAGAGTGACAGCACAGATAAGGTTCCTGGTCTCCTGTGGAATATTCCTTCACACTGTGTGAATATACATCACTGTGAATGGTTTAGTAAAGAAGCTGACTGGCCAATAGCTGAACAGGATAAGGTTAGGCAGAAGAGCCAAACTGAGAATGCTGTGGGGAGGAAGGACAGAGTCTGAAGAGTCAAGAGCAGATGCAAAGAGAAGCAAGATGGGCATGCCGTACTGAGAAAAGGTGCCAAGCCAGGTGGCAAAGCATAGATACGAAATATGGGTTAATTTAAATATAAGAGTTAGCTAGTAACAAGCCTGAGCTATTGGCCAAGCATTTGTGATTAATATTAAGCCTCTGTGTCAGATTTTTGGAAACTAGCGGGTGAGAAAGAAAAGTCTGCCTACAGCCCCCAGAGCAGGAGAGCCTCAGACCTGCCTTTTGCCCTGTTTCCTCTCTCTGTTAGCAGCTTTGCCTGGGCCCAGATGTAGTCACAAGAAGACTAAGGACATCAAGTACCAAAGAGCTAGTGTGCTCTTCCCTGACTGCTTCTGTTGCCCGTCTTTCCTCTTCAAAGATAGCAGAGCCCAACATGGTTCCTTACTTGAGTCAAAGTGGGGTGCCTAGGGTAGGGCTGGCTTCTCTTGTAGGAGGGGAGTAAGACTTGACAAGCAGCCATAGCATCATCACTCGGGATGTGCTTTCTTGTGATTTCCTTAATGTCAGTCTGATGCAGTCTGCTCCTCTCCCTTTAGTGCGTTACATCACAAGAAGTGAAAAGGACCACACTTGAGCTGTTTGTGCCTGTGACCAGACCAGTCTCTCAAAAGTCAGCAGAGGAGGTGTTGGAGCCCACAGAGGTCTCCTAGTGAGATCTGAGCTTGCTTTTCCTAGTAGGGCTGCATGAGAGGATGATTGGACCATGGGACTGGGTACCAGGTGTTTGGAAGGGTCTACACTTGGTTGTATCTAGCAAGGGCCAGGTCTTTTTGCCTCGCCCCCTGGCATTATTATGAAAAGCCCTTTTTGAATAAAGCTCTGGACCGTTGGGTTTTGACCCAGGTCCTCCCGAGGCGATCCTGTGTTTCTGTCTTTCCTCTCCTCGTCATCTAGGTCTCTCTATCTAAAAATTTCTCACTTCTCCCTGCTCAAGAGTACCCTGGATGTAAATGTGGGAGCGGATCTCCCACCAGGAGGAAGGATGGTACAAAGCCACTTCGCTTGTGCAGGGTCACTTAGCTGACGAGAGGGACCTTGAGGAGCAAGGGTTTATTTTGGCTCACAGTTTGAGATGAGACAGTCCTCAAAGGCGGGAAAGGTGGGATGACAAAGACAGGAAGCAGCTGGTCGTACCAGCTCACTTCCTCCTTTTGACTCCGTCTGGGACCCACGGAATGCTACCACCCACGTTCACAGTGAGCCCTCACTTCTCAGTTAAAACTCGGTGGAAACGTCCTCATAGACACACAGAGGAGCGTTTCCATGGTGATTCTAAATCTGGTCACGTTGACAACAAAGATTAATCACCACAACTCCCAAAGGACAGAGAGGAGATTTAAGAAGGGAAATAAGTAAGTAAATGTAATTAAGACAAGACAAAACAAAAACAGAGATGACTAAATGGGCAAAGGCCCCTGCTGCCGAATCTGAGTTCTGTTCCTGAGACCTCCGTGGTACAAGGAGAGAGCATACTCCCCCAAGATGGCCTCTGACTTCCACAGGTAAGCATGTCATGCTCATACCCAATCCCCTCCCTGCCCCCCACACATAAGTAATAAAGGTAATTACCACACACTTCACAAAGAAGAGCAACAATGTCAAGATTTTGAGATGGAAACTACATGGGGTGGGGGGTGGCAGAGCAAAAGGAAGTTTCAACTACAAAGCCAAGAAAAGCTCCTGACTCGAACCCAGTACCCAGAACCATGTCTCTGGATGGGAAGTATTAGCTGTGGATAAAGCTTGGCCCAGAAACGGGAGACTGGCTGAAAATTCCGTATACAGTTGTGAGATTTCGTTAGTGTGGTGCCCTCTCTGTCACCCCCAGCCTACACGTCCAGCCTTTCCTGCTGGCTGGATAGTCTTCCTGGAAGAGGCAGTTTCCTCTCCTGAGGACTGCATGAGAGAGGGTAGAGCCACATCTGGGCAGAGAGAGAGTGTGTGGCTGC